AAAAACCCCCTCTCGGCAGAACACACCTACGCAATTAATTGCTCTCCCAACCCTATTGTGGACGCCGACCGTAACAGTATCAGGGTATCCCAAAGCATTCAGTGATGTAGAATAAAGCTTGAGAGTGTTAGCATACTGGTGAATGAAAAAATATGGAAGATCAGGCTGTACATTCCCATAATTGTCCAATCTCCTCAATATAAATAATAAGTGTTTATCATGCTCTAAGTCTTTCAAAGACACAAGATTTCCATTATCATGCAAGTTGTCCATTTCAGTTGAGGGTATTGGTAAAATGACTCGACAGAGGAGTTCAAGAGAAAGTTGTTGGTGACTTTGGACAAAGGACTTAATTTTGTACATGGTTATCAAGATTGGTCATGACTCTATGAAAAATGTCCACTGGCTGATGGGATTCAATGTTGTTGAAGAAATCCACAATATTTTCATAAATTTCCCCAAAGAATTCAATAAAGAGGGTATCTAAAGCATGTGGAAGGCCCCCTGTGTCAAGTAGTAATTGATGAACCCATATCTTGCTTTCCCAAGAAACTTCACTGCTATTTCCCTGATCTGCATAATATTTCATAAGCTCTATTCGAGATTTTAATGACAATAATAATAATGGAAGACTCAGAGGTTTACAAGAATATCCTGATGGTTCCAGAACTTGTATAACTTCAAATGGTGCTGTTCCAGACAGAAGAGTCTGCACATACACCATGCTGGGTTTTGCTCTCATATAACCTCCCAGAACAGACAACAAGTACAAGTGATGGAATAGGGTCCTTTCATCGTTTTCAGTTCTTCCTTCAAGTTGAGAATCACGTTGGAAGATCTTTTGAAATTCATCAATTTGAAGAAAAAGGAAGAGATATTCTTTTTCAGTGCATTTTTGATTTATATTTAGACGAATGGCTTGGAGAACTTCATAGAGTTTAAAGGAACCAGAATATTTCATTGCTCTTTCACAGAATGCTGAGAATGATATTGTGTAATTATTATAGACATAGTACTGCAAAGCACACCACAACATTTGCTTTGTCAATAAAGCGTAATAAAAGTATTGCGTTGGGTTTTTAAGCATATAAAGCATGAAATGCTTCTGAATTCATTGATGCATCTGAAAATCCCCTGGACATGAGGCTTCAGCCCATTCACACGCATTGTAAACATTCACCCTGCACTCTGCAGATGTCTCAATATTAATATTGTCACACGCAGTCATTGTTACTTTATTACTATATTCGCATCTACAATACGTGAATGATTATCATTCGCACAGCTATATTCGCATCTGCAATACGTGAATGATTATCATTCGCACAGTCGTCCCTTGCGCAGTATAGCGATTGGCAATGACAGTCGATCTTCTCATGCTTGTCAAATTCTAATGAGTATCGTAAGAAGATCAAACACGTAAATTCTCCCAATGAAAACACTTGTCACTTCCAACGCACAAGCACAATAATTCAGAAAAGCTATCCTGGAACGAATAATTCTGAAGGCACTAATAAAAATGCATCTACTGACATGCTGTAATTGAGAGACTTCCCTGTCGGAGAGGTATAATAGACATTGATAATAAACAGTGAGAATTTGTTGTACATTGGATAGATTTTGCACTTTTCCTTGATTTTAAGACGCGATGGTATACCAAAAGCATCTGGGTTATCTCTTATAGTTATGTACAGTCTCGGTATCATAATTGACATTTCCACACTCAATTAAACGTTCAAACATTTTACATTTATTATTTTTTTATTTATCGACGCTTTGCAAACGTCTAACAACTTCCTCCATAAAACTGGTCAGCATCGCCGTCGGCTGGTATGTGAAAGAATAAAAAATTATTATAAGCATCTATCAGTAACCGAGTACGTAATATACGAAACTAATTGTAGTTTTGCAAAATTGCACTCGATGGAAATGATAAGATACTTACCCAGTCAGCATAATCGTATGTTAGTTCTTCTTTCACCTCCGGTTCGTCGACCACTTCCTCCATATGGTCGACTTTTTCCGCGAGCTCTTCGAACTCGCGGTTTTGCTTTTCGCACTGGCGGCAGCTGGCTTTTTGCTTCACTGCCGAATTTGCCACCCGCATTATGGGTGTCCGCCGAGTAAGATCGTCGGATGTGGTTTTCTTGTTCTGGCGGTTCATTTTTGTGTGTGTGTTGTGTGTGTGTTTGTGTGAGTGAGTGCGCGCTCGTGTGTGTTTAGGTGTGTTTTTGTGTGTGTTGGGTCGTTTATATATGACCAATTTTTCAGCAGTCTTCTATATGCTGGCCGATTGCACCAGAAGCTTTGGTTGTTATTGTTTAATACGAGTATGCCCCACATTGCCAGTTTTATTGAGTTTTAATAGATTGTTTTGGACGGTGTCTTTTTGTTAACGATAGAAAAAAATTTTCATCTAAAGACCGAACACTCCGAACAGTCCGGAAAATTTTTTATTAACAACCATATGACATTCACCCAATAAAATGCTCTGAAATCACAATAAGGATTTGTGCGATCGATCTACTTAATATTTTATTCTGAAAAATTACATTAACATTACTTGTCCAGATGCTTCAAATTTGAAGAAAGTAAAATTCGACTTTAATATTAATGTTGCAGATTGAACAGTATATGCTTATGTATATAACGTGCACTTGAATTTCTGTTACAGATGTCTTGTCCCTCTGAATCACATCACTTCCCCAATCACTTACCTCGTTTCACCCAATCCGTCTTCCGCTATTTCCAATGATGAAACAACATTAAAACTATTTATTGGATAGTTTCCAAGCGAACCAATTTCTTTCCATAATTTTGTCAAATCCCTAAACTCAAGACTTTTTATTTTTAGTTGACTAAAAATCTAAACCATAACTTTTGGGGAGTTAGATCATTTGCCGATAGTGAAAGCACACGCACTTCAAACCTCGATAACTTTTGGACGAAGCGAGCTACGCTTATAAAGTCTGTACCGATACATACTGCAACGCCTGCTCCACAATAAATAGAGAAACGTTTTTAATTTTAATATGGGGCATGCTGCAACAAAACTAGACAAAGTGAACATTTGATGTTGTCGAGTCAAAAGTCACGGGAGAGCGGATGACAATTAACTCGGTTAAGGATTAGCTACTTGTCGATGGTGCGTGGCTCACCTCTCGGTAACTGTCCTTATTACGTAACAGTTAGTGACCTGTCGGTAGGCTTTTACTCGAGTTTACCTAAGTAGTAAACGTAGAGACACTAATCCTCGATGTTAACTATTCTCGAGTCCAAATATACGATTTTCTACCACTGGATTAGGTCGGTAGTCTATCGGTTGGGGTCTGACTAAAAACTAACGCGTTATTTAGTAATAATTAACATTCGTATTCGCTACTCAGTTAACCGTTAGACAAGTACGCCGGTTAACCTTTCCGTTATACGGATTAGCGACTTTAACAATATAACGGATAATCAGGAATAGAATTACAATTATAAACGACTATATGTTTATTAATGAGAAATAAACGAAATAATATAATACGAGGGAATCGGATTAATATGACAAAACTTTACGAACCCATAGTTAAACACCGTTGAACACAGTCCACACGGAACTAACTCCAACGATTACTGCTTTTATATCTTTCGACTCTATATATGACCTATTTTTAGCAGCTATTTCTAATTGCTACGTCTACCTAATCGCTACGCTTGTGCTGTCTAACGCTTAGGATATTCGTGTAATCTAGCATTTGCGATACTTGTACCATCTAGCATTTGAGATACTTGTACTATCTATCAAATGCTATACGCTAGTCACACACATAGTCAAATGCCATGATCGGCATCGTTACCTAAATTCTGCGCCCAAATCCTCGTGCCACCATCGATGCTGCGCAGAAATTCAGAGAGGAATACGTCACTCTAAGCTTGCGTCGTCATAATTTAGCTAATGACATTTTGGAGAGGCTTTGCTTGATTATAGTTGGCTCATGCACCAATGTTAATGTAGATGTTTTTTAATGACTTACTAATACTAATATGTTTATACATACTTGTGGCTAATTTCCAAAATTAATAATTAACAGGCTTTTTTGCAAGCAAGCGCTAAGCAAAAAAACCATCATAGTTGTATTATGTACCAATTCAAGAAACTCACTTTAATGCAACTGCACCATTTATATCTTAGTCTGCTTGGATGTCACTCTCTTTGATGAGTTCAGTGGGGTTCCTATCACTGGTGGTGCTGACCATTGTTCAGGAGCCTCTTTTTGTTTTGTTCCAGCACATGCTATCTCAATGCATTTGCTGTTGAGGCTGCAAAGATTTCTTTCTGTTTCATGTAGCTTCTCAACAAAGCCCAGCATTGCACAGTAGGCCAGTTTAATGTTACAAATATCAGTTGTTGATGATGGCAGGGGTGCCTGAAATGCAAGTGTAATAGTAAGATGAAAAAATCTTCCATAAGCACATAAAGAATAGATATGAATGATTCGTCCTGTGTACCAAAATATAATCACTGTTATAGTTAATATTCTTTCAAAAAAGAAAGAAAAAAAAAGATCAATAATCAACTCACCAATCACAGTAAATCCCCATTGCACCACATTGCTAGAATCAACAGAACAGAGCTCATCTTGCTCTAGGTACTAGGAGCCATATGTCACAGAGTTCCCATGATAATTTCACAGTATTCAACCATTCTCGTGCTGGAGAACAGCGTGGCAGTCCACCAACAATCTCACCACAGCCAAGCTCTGGCATCCAGTGTAGTCCAGTGAAGGTAATGAGAATATCGATCTTGTATCCTGAACACACACAATTGGCAGGGTCCCTGCTACCTGCCTTTGTTTTGATGCTCAGCTGTGGCATTCAGTGTACAGTCAACTCTCCCTAAATGCACACCCTTGGGAATGAAAAGTTGAGAGCATGCATTTAGGGAGTTTGTATTAGTAAATCACATGATAACTGAATATAATAATAATCATTGCATAAAATACTGATCTATGCTTGTCTGTCACATCATATTAGATTTTCTTTCCCTAATATACCTTTCAAGAATATTCATCATTTTCACTTGTTCTTTTGTATTTTCTTGTTGAATCAATCAATCAGCACAATGCAGGGTTTGGTAAAATCATGCCACATTTGGCAACTTAACATACTAATACTGCATCAGCTGGGAGTTGAATTAGGGCAGCTTGCTTGGAAAACAAGTATTCTACCACTATGCTATTAATGCACAAAAGTCACATGCATGCATTTACAGAGAATATTTTCATATTGAAATGAGGCCTTGGGATTATGAAATCAGTTGCACATGCAGAATAGGGAGAGTGTGCACTTATCACTAATTCCTGAGGTTGGGAATTTGAAATACCATGCACTTAAGGAGAATGTGCATTTAGAGAGAGTGCATTTAGAGAGAGTTGACTGTATATGTACATTCCCCACTATGTGAACAAGCAGAAGCATTCAGTAAGAATTTGCATAAACTATTTAATAGCAATGACTCAATGCAACATACTAATGTATGTGATATTGTGGTACTTTAACTTGTCAGACTGTGGCATCTAGTAATGGCATTATATTTCTTGAGGTGTGTTCAAATTCTGTCATGTCATCATCCCTTCCATTTGTGATTGAATCATATCTGACAAAGTACTGTAAGAGTTAAGAATAATGAATACAAATCTTCACAAGTTTGACCTGCCATACATTCACTCCATCAGATATCTGATTTTCCGTTGCTCTGAGGTCTCCACTCACACATTTTGCAGGTCAGCAGCCTTAAAAAAGTTCAGTATTCAGTATTATCAGCATAATGATACAGAATGAAATTCAATAATTACCGCAATTAGCTCATCAAAAAACTGGCTCTGCTCAGATGAGAGCTTGGGTAGCACAAATTTTGTCTCTTCTGGCAGGGAAAGCTGCATACCCCCAAGGTATGTATTCAACAATTTGCTCATAGGGCCATGTTGGCCTGAGTGATCTATGATATAATAAAATAAAGGACTAGAAAGGCATGTTAATATCCCCCCCAAAGTAGATAACATTCAATGTTAATGTCATTACTTACTCGTAGAGACGCCTCGTTTTCGGTAACGTTTCTCTATAACTTTCCACGAGCTTTCGCGCTGAAGCCCAGTCATCAATGCTGAGCACCCTTCCACTGCCCGTAGTCGTGACGATTGGTTCGTCGAGGACATCAATATTGACATGTTTTTCGGCCACCTCCTCGTCGTACCAGATGGTTTCAGCCTCAGATTCTTTGTAGGCCTTGACATCGGTATCGCTTTCAGAGGCATCGTCCACGAAAAAAAGGATTCGAGACAACTTCCCGCCGAACAGTTGTTGAGGAGGAATCGGACGAATCACTCTCGTCCCGGTCCAGCCTTCGACGGCCCTCTTCATTCACAAGATTACAAAAAGTATTCAGTCGCTCATATGCTGATGATCGACCTTTATCGTCGTTCTCTGCCTGTTTATGATCACGCGATATTATTTCGTCAGCGAGTCATGAGTGGCGTAGATGGATACTTCCAGCATACCTTTTCAAGACTCTTCCAATATGTTTCGCATTCTTGCGAGTTTATCAATGCCTAGGTGTACGCAGCAAATTATAAGGTATATTTATCTGCTGGTAACAACGTTTTCAGGAAAAATGAAACGACTTTGTTTACTTTAAACCGATCTAGAATACGTTTTGCCTTACGCCTCTCCTTAGTATTGTTTTCTCGCGCGATTTGTTCTATTATAAGCTTTAAGTCTTTCTCGGCCGTTTGCCGTAAACGGCGCGTATAGCCGAACTTTGCATAAAATTTCGAAGGTACTATGCTTGTGTTTATGTGCTTTTGGACCCACAGGATCTGTTTGGTGCGGTTTTCCATGGTTGGACGGTGACGAGGATGGTGGGATGACGAAAAATTTTTAGACAAGGGAAAAATAGATAAATGCGCGGGAATGTAAAGGTAGAGGTCTAATAGAACGCGTTTGGCTTTCCACGAGGGAGAGTTTCTTTATTTGTATAACGAATATTCCGATCACGTTTTAACACGTGGTTCACGTCGTATGTTTTTTTTTTTAATAAAAGGACGTAAAACCTCACGTCGTATGTTTCGTGCAGGCATTACGTATCGTCGAGCGTTATGTCGCTGATTGCTGATACAAGATAAGTGCTTTTCCTAGATTCTCCTTTCAGATGCACGGAGCGCCAGTGTCGGGTGCGCCGCTTTGATGCCGCGTTGCTGGGTGTATAGCAGATATGCTTCGCGCTGGTGCCGTCCCCTGCGACCATAACGGCTTGATTTGCTCTGTGGGGATATTTCTGTTGTGTTTCGACTTTTGAGTCGGTGTCCCCCATTGATCTATCAATCGCGGACAGTTGCCAGGCGATCTGGCACTCTTTTGCGCCTTATTGATAAAATGGTGTTGTGTGTAGCAGATATGCTTCGCGCTGGTGCCGCCACAATGTCCACCTGGCAACGACCAGCAGTTTATATCTTTATGATATCTGTGATCAATGTTATTATTATACCTCAAAATAACAACCGCTAATTCTCGCTTTTATCTTTCGGTGCTCAGAATTTGTATGCGACG